GGACATTTCATTTCTTTCGATTAAAATATTTGTAGAAGTATAAGACCATGGGTTTGCTATTGGACAGGTATTTACTAACACAGCGATACAGATTCCAACAGCTCAGACTAGTGACAATAATTACATTACAGTATTATATGTCAAGTACTTTTCCAAATTTTCGAAGTTAAAGGGGTTTGCATGAAACGTCCAGGCCGTCCAAGCTATACTTACTTAAATCTTTCTACACTTCTTGTTTCAGAGCAAACAGAAGAATGGTCCAATAGAAAAAGATCTCACCCGATTTTAATACGTATTCGGGCATCAGCAAAGCGAAACAAACGAAGATATAAGCGACTCCTAGCAGTCGCTCATTTTTACTTTAGAATTGACTCCGGTATCAAGATGAAACACACTTACATTAATCTTCTCCGTGAGCCTATAGATCGTTTTATATCACATTATTATTATGCCAGAAGTCCACATCGTTGGCCCAAAAAGCTGCGTAGGTTAAAAGCTAAAGGTCATTGGAATGTTACCTTAGAACAATGCCTTGAAAAGCAGTACGAAGGTTGCAAGTGGAATATCATGACGAGATTTTTCTGCGGTCCTGAAGGATTTTGCAAGACAGGGAATATGGAAGCCCTGTCTCAGGCAAAATATAATATGCTTCATTATTATTCCAGTATTGGTGTAGTGGAACATTTAAACGAGTTTATTCAAGTTTTGCATAAACGCTTGCGCAAATTCATCATCAAACCTCCGAGAACGTTAAGTAAAACATTTGTTACAACCGGTGTGGAAAAGAAACCGATTAGTAACAGGGTAATGACGAGGATAGTGCAGGCTAACCAAGCAGATATTGAATTGTACAATTACGGGAAGACTCTGTTTTTGAAACAAGCCAAACAGTGTGGAATAAAAGTAAAAACATAAGCTGGACTTCAATGATATATCTGGTCTCTTGCACTTCACTTGGTAGAATTTAATATTAGAATGCTGTTTTTAGGGTTTGTAATCCAAGTGAGTACATATACACTTTAAAGGGAAATGGCAATATATTTTTTTATTTTCACATTTGAAATAACTTTTGAAACTATTTGGTAACTTCTTTTACCGAGTCTTCATATCTTTCTTAGTTCTTGAAATATTTTCACTTGAAGTAATGATATATCAGCCATCTTGGATAAATTTTTTATCTCATTAACGGTAGTTTTGGTGACGTCACAACAGGGATTAACCATATAAAAGTATACGTTGTTGACCAAATATTGATTGGCAGATGTTTTAAAGGTTTCAAGTGATCTTGATATTTCCAAGGGCATACGGAGTATAAATTTGAGTGCAAAAAAATTTAGTGGTTGTCTAGATAAAAATATTGCATGACTCTTGTTGTGACGTAACATGAGTATCTACAAAAATCCAAGATGGCGGACATTTCATTTCTTTCGATTAAAATATTTGTAGAAGTAAGCAAGATATGAAAAAACGGTAAAAGAGTTTTATATATGGTTTTAAATGTTCTTTCAAACGAGAAAATAAAAAAATATATTGCCATTTCCCTTTAAAATTAGTGGACGAAGCGGAGCATGATGTAAAGAATTATCAAAACCGAGGTCAATGTTATATGCCACGCCGAAGTCTGAAGCGGATAACATTGTCCGAGATCCATATAGTTACCTCTTGATATATCATGCGTATGCCGAATCAAATAATTGTTTTAATGTGCATAGAGAGTAATCATGTTTATAGCCACAGCAACGACCACTTTACCCACTCGCATACAGCAAAACGATGGTAAAAACGAAGAAAGTACATTGGCGTACGATGCAGTAACAAAGTTTCCATACGAGAATAAAACAGAAAATGCTATGAATGTGAAAAATGGTAATAAAGTGTTCCTTTTTACAATATGGCGTGTTACTGAAGATCGAGGGTATGATCGCAGCAAAATTAATCTAGATCGCCAATTTTCATTTTTATTTGTATATAATAGGTTCTTATGCTTTAACTTAGTTTTGTTAATTTATATTGTAATTATAAGTGACATGCATGTTGCAAGAGTAAGGCAGACAATTTGTCACGATCAAAATACAATTCTGCTTGCGAGTTGTAGGTTGCAAGACCTCTATATATAATTATCAGCAGCTTTTTAGCCAATCGCAATGGAGATTGCCTCAATAATGCAAAATAAAAGATGGCATGCAGGATTAGAAAAGAAAACAGTAACGTACCGCTATTGAGACCTCTGCTGAGGAGGCTAAAGTCATTTCAGGTAGATTTTCAAGATACATATGGTCAAGTCAATAATGATTATGATCATAATGTTAGTCTTAAGTTCAAGCAATTGTTTCATGTGTGATTGATTAAGAAAATAGAAAGTATATTGTATATTGGGAACCAGAGCCGTAGTGAGCGGGGGGGGGGACGGTTGCTCATATGAGCAATTTCAGGTAAATTCAGGTAGATTTGCAGAAGAAATTCAGGTAAATCAACGCAAATTCAGGTAATTCCTAGGACCAGAGAAAGTTAATTTACAAAAATAACTATCAATTTGGAAAAAAAATAAGGTATATTTACACAAATTTCAGAAAATCCAAAAAGTTTTCAGAATTTTAGAAAAATTTCCTGGATAAACGGAGAAAATTTGTGAAAATAAATATCGCCGAAAATAATTATCCGAAAAAAAATTTTCAGGTAAAATTCGAAAATTTGATACTTTCAGGTAGATTTAACCAACCCCCCCTGAAGCGAATTCCTCGCGACGGCACTGTTGGGAACCCAAAACTATTTCAATGAAAAACACCTTCAGCTTCAAAGAACAATTTTATCGCAAAGAATTGAAATTTACGTCCTTGATTTCATTTATATCATTACATAAACATTTAAAATTTAGCAAATAACATTTTCCGTGTTGATATGAAAACGAGAAATTGTGTCGAAACACGACGCCCGAAGGGCGGAGTGTTTTCACACAATTTCGAGTTTTCCCAATTTCCACGAGTGCTGATATTAACGGCTTATTGACCGAGCGTGATGTCTGTAATGTGAAATATCAGACCGAGGTCTCATATTTCACAGTGCAGACCGAACAAGCGAGGTCAATAGTCGGTTTATTATATGGCGGAACCGAGACTGTGAGCATATGCTTTTCGCGCGAATTAAATCGGCTATCGTCAGTTTCACTGGGTAACAATATACGGTAGGCATGCATGCTCAATCAAAAACAATTTGGTTCTTTGAAGTTTTTATCTGTAAATTTCAATGACACACAACTGGAAATTAAAAAGCAAAAATTTCCCGCCAGATAAACGACATCCGGGACACCGGTCTAGATACGGAAAATACGGACAACCAGGGCCGTAGCTAGACACGATAATTGGGAGGGGGGGTGTATATTCATATATTCATGTTCACATACCATAAAGACAATCGATTTCAAAAGAAATCCGTCGGGCAGAACAGTCACGAATATATGAATACACCCCCCCCCCCCAATTAGCGTTCTAGCTACGGCCCTGCGGACCACGGTCCGGATATGGGTTTTTACGGACTGCTGTCAACCAATCGAAATATAGCCGGAATTTTGAAAAGCCATATAATAAAACTATATACCAATACGGAAAAAACGTTTTATATATTTTTTATAATATAGGACGAAGAAATATAAAGAAAAATATTTTCTGTGTCGACATCGAGTTATATCAACACGGCTCTTAGCCAATCAGCGTTCAGAATTTGCAAATGCTATATTATAAAATTAAATCATAACTATGATTAAATATTTCCCATACTATTACTCTTAAACGACTAGTATACTTGTCTTATATCAATAAGATCATATATTTTATTTCCCACACTACAGGAACTTACACTTACACTACAAGATAGAGGTACAAGTTAACTTTTCCTTCAACATAGTTGTTTATAGTTGATGTATACCTTTCATTATAGTTGATACATTGTATAACTGTATCAAAAGGGACAGGGTTACGTGTGAATGTATAAAACATGGTTATAATTATTGTTTAACAAACTGACAGTCCACTGGTATATACGTCAATATTAAAAAGTGAACTAAAATTGATACTCAGATTTCATCCAAGATGTATAGTCCGTCTAGATTCGGATGCATGAACAAATTTTGACATTGTTCAAGACATGGCCGAACCGCTGCTTTGAGCATATGGCAACCTTGACCCACTCTGCTGGCTTGACATGGATGTATCCAAATTACTAAATGCAGGGTTAGTTCTCTCATTCACCATAACCGGTTTAGGGATTTGATATGAGGTACTCTCGGCGTATGCTCCAATTGGATAAGCTGGCTCACCGTGTTTACTAATATCAAGACCTTGAAGAAAAAGAAGAACAAGGCTTTGCAAATTAGAAGTAACTGATAATGAACTCCAGGAAACGATCAAGCCCCGACGCTTATGCATATGTGACCATCCTAATTAATCTTGCTTAATAATAATAATAATTATTATTATTATTATACATTGTAGTTGGTAAAAGCAATTTGATTGGCTAAGAGCTTACAGTTAAATTGCGCAATCACGCAACCTATATAAAATTCAGTTATATGAGCCTGCTATGATTAGCAAGCGGTATCTTTTTACAATCAAAATACAAGAACCTTCTCACTTCCGCAACTTGTTTTGTATTTCTGTAATTTGTTCTATATTTTTCTGTAGCGATTACCGCTTTATCGGCATATATCGCGGTAGAATTCCCCTTTCTTTCCTTTATATGCGTCAATATTTAGCAAAGGTTACACCTTTCGTTAGATTCTTTGCATAAAAGTTGCGAAATTTTCATTTTAGTACGTTAAATGATTGTAGTTGGTAATTTTAAATTTGTATAGTATGAACACACTAGAGGGGCGGTTTAAAACCGAATGTAAAGAAAAGAATGTAAAGAAAGGTGTATTCATTGCTACAAATTGACGTATATAATGGCGAAATTCTACCGGATCCTAACACGATATGTGCCGATAAAGCGGTAATCCATACAGAAAATAGAACAAATTAAATAACATAAATACAAATTTAACAAGTTACAGAAGCGGAAGTGGGAAGGTTCTTGTATTTTGACAGTAACACAAACAAATGTATAATAAAACAATTATTGAATTCGGTTTTTGCGATATGCAAAATTATCAAGGTCTCGGTAAGCGAGAACGCTTACCTCGATCTTGATAATTTCACATATCACAAAAACCTCATCCAATAATTGTTAATTATTAATTTATATTGCGCAAGTATCAACTGGAGTATTTTCAAATGCGCATTGCATATTAACGTTCTAAGCGTAACATGTGGAAACTACTTTGACTACCTTTCATTAATTTCGACCAGTGAATGATACTGAAGATATTATCATAAAAATATATTTCCCTCACATTACCTTTGGCTTCAACTTCCGGTGTCACTTTCAGTTTCTTGAAGAACTTGAGACTAAGAAACAGTATGGATGAGAACAAAGCTGACCACACGATGATAACAACCCCACCAAGGATGTTCCATCCAAGCAATTTAAAACTCAGTTTATCACCAACGTACAGAATACCATCATTTTTATTCAGTAAAGGTGCGGAAAGTAGGCCCCACATTCCACCACCTAAATGAACTGGTAAAGTGCATTGTGAAATCAGTGCACCAACATGGACGAAAATGTTTATTGTGACACATATTAAAATATAGGAAATACCCATCAATTAAAGCACATATTATTGGCAGTAAAAATTTAGTTTGTCTGATTTGAAAGAGCTTTAAATTAATTAAAATAATATATAAAGGCTTTTTACAGCTTTTTTCCATATCTTGCTTGATTTTTGAAATATTGGACTGATGTGAGCCGTCCGCCATTTTCGATTATACATGCACGATGTGCATGTTACGTCATAAGTGGGATCACGCAATTTTATATCTTGCCAATCAGTGTCATATGAATATAAGCCAAAAACCTGTTTTCGGTTTTCAACTTTGAAATTGAACAGAAGCTTTTTGAATTACTATTGATATTTACTCGATCAGTTAGAGGTAATTTTATCAGACTAACCCCAGTCTTGACGTCATTAGTCAAGTTACTAGGAATTAATCCGGATTAAGATGCACTGGAAAAAATTTTTGAAAATCCATAGAAGGTCATAGAATGGAAATTGTATGGACCTTTATTGGAAATAGAAGGGGTTTTGGTTATCCATAATAATTGTATATTTCCATAGTATGGATATAGTATGGAAATAGTATGGATATATTATGGATTTTGTGGTGCAATTGTAAATTTTGTAGTATGGATTTCACTTTTTTCCCCAGTGATTTTCGACAACTCATTGCCTTCAGTCAAATCAGTGTAATAGGTAATAAGCTTGATATAAGAGACCTGCAACCAGATTTAGGCTAGTACATAATTTTAAACGTTCTTTCAAGCTAGACAAACTATTTTTTTAATTCCAATATTCTTTAAACTGCATCTATAAACATTGTCACTAAACGAACTGATATCAAATCACTTTAATCTACCTGATGTTGCCGTGACGGGATCATCAACTTTGATATGTAGAAGCACAATGTCCCAAGCAATATATGTAGACCCAGCAATAAAGCCAACAATGAATGCTGCATAAGGATGCATTTCATTACCACCAGCACTTATTGACACCTAAAAATAGTTACTATGAATTATATAAAGCTTACAAGAATAAATTATAGGTTCATAATGAGAAAATGGTTTCCCCTTCACCTAAACAGTCAGGGAAAGAGTTTAAAAATTTAGACTAAAGTCGTGTTTTTTTCAGTCACTACAATGTTTGCCTACTTCTTATGAAGAGGCGCTCGAATTAGTCAATCTAGAAACCTTGCGAAACAGAAGAGAAGCAGCATGTAAAAAACTTTTCCTTCAAGCACACTCGGATACCAAGCACAAACTACATCAAATGATCCCAGAGGAAAACGAGTGTACATATCCGTTAAGGAAATGTCATAAATTTCTAGTCCCTAAGATTCGAACAGAACGTTTTAAGAACTCCTTCATTATATCTAATAGTATAAGTGTATAAATTCTTAACTTTATTTCGTGTCAATTATAGCCTATAGTTTTTATTGTAAATATATGTAAATACTCGTAAGCAATTCAGTTATACCAACTGTAATTTACAATTTGATTAAACCTGTTCTACCTATCTATCGATCTATCTATCTATCTATGTATTTCAATTCGGCTACAACGCCAATTTCCAATTCGGCTACAACGATGCTGTATTGACAATTTTGACAAGTTCACTAAACTTTTTAAATTAAGTAACATTCATTTCATCAACTCGACGTGACAAACCAGGATATGGACATGGGGTAAATTCGAATCGAGTAAGCTCCATACATATATAGAGTAAGACCTCTCGTCCAAAAAGTGAAGCCAAAAATAGCAGACTTGACCTCCAGTGCCAGTCCCTTTCTGTTATTTTTGTCCGCGCGACTAGGTGCAAATGTGGGTCAAATTTTTGTGTTTTGACATCGATTTGAAGAATGTTGTGATTTTTTATCAACTGATATTACGAAAGTCACCGAACTGTGGAATCGCATCAAAAATTTGTATATCGACCACTCCCACAAACGTCTACGACCGGGCCTACATAGTTTTGCATGTTTACAATTCTAATTTTAAACAGCCAATCGACGTTTAATTGTAATTGTTACCAAGAACCTGATTGGCTGTTCAAAATTAAAATTGTAAACATGCAAAACTATGTAGGCGCGGTCGTAGACGTTTGTGGGAGTGGTCGATATACGAATTTTTGATGCGATTCCACAGTTCGGTGACTTTCGTAATACTGTCTGATAATTTACCTATAACTATGAAATAAATGGTATGAAAATTAATGGTATATGTATTTAATGGTATGAGAGCGTAAGCTTCGCGTTCAACGACAAACGACAAACGTAAGGCAAAGAAATATTTTAAGCTATAAAGCATGCAATAAAAAGTAAATTAGCTTGTTGTTTTATAACTAGAATGCTTAACTATTACTGTATCAAATGAAAGAAAATATGACACGCAGAAATCGAACGAAAGTATGCCAAGAAATGTCTGTCATGCCGTTTGACGTGAAGCTTAAATTCTCTAATAAATTTTGCACTTCAAACAGTCTGCCATCGATCTTCGCTTCACTTTTTTCATAGGCCGATCGAATGACTAAAGTTCTAACTCCAGATATGTATAGCAATCACTGCTTGGGGCTGTATGTAGGTATAATAACGTAGTCTACGAACAAATTTCACCCTTCCTGAGTAGTGGTGGATTACCCATCAGGCTGAATCACTGATGGCCGAATAGGTCGAATCCAACCGCCCGTCCGTTTCAAGAGGCCCGTGATTTTCAGACAATTCACATTTATTAGAATTATTATTACTTTTTGACCTTAATTAAACAACGAGATATTGATATAGCAGCCAACCAAAAACTATAAGTTCCTTGTTTTTCGTGAGTGTTAATCTTAGCAGTAACGCCTACACTTGAAACGTCATTGTTGCGATAGCAATGGCAGTTGCGTAACATTTGTGAAAAAATTCAAACCCTTTACATGTTGTTTTACATCAGTAAGATACTTTCTGATTTTCAATAAGTAATAATTCTCCAAAAATACGGATCTGGTAAATCATAAATTTTCCATTTTAGAAAACTGTAACGAGCCATCCGCTGAACCCCTCAATAAAAATTAGGAACGGGAAGAGCGCAATCGTCGACAAGAGGCTTAACTTAAGTGGATTCCAAATTATTCAGAAATTTATGAGCCCTATTGCATTAGCACGTTTTTTATCGTTGTCTAAATGAGCAGAACTTGCGTTGGAATATCATTCTCACGGCCCGCAAATTTTACCTAGCCCACAAGACCCGTAACTGGCGATCTGCTGCTGTTCCTGAGGGTAGTCAGGACGAAAGGACGACTTTTATCATCCAACCAGGTTTAAAATCAGGCCCAGACAGAAGTTTCAGGTATATTGCTTTGCAGGCCATTTGCATTTGGAAAAATTTAGAAATGTTAGAAATATGGGCATATGTGGGTATAAAGTATCGTACATTTACCCAAGATGAAGTTCTCAGGTAGATCTCAGACGTGTGATCTTTTAAATAAAATAAAGTTTTACCTAGACAGACTTAATTAGCCTGGAATTTTAGGTATACTGGCATATTGAGCCAATAAACATGATCTTGGCGTTATTTGCTGCCATCATTGTATTCCGATTTCATTTCCTCTCAAGGATCACAAATATTTGTTAAAGGGTTTTTGTCCCAGTTTTATCATAAGAAATCTTGGTCAAAATCTTACCGCCCCAGTCAATGCTCCATTAATCATTGTGAGAACACTGGAATGATGCCCGTAACATGCTCCCCACGTTCTGCGAATGAAAAACGCCGTCAGTCCACCGGCTGCAGCTGACAGTACCGTGTTAATAACGATAAGACCAATTACATCGGTATCACCAGGAGATGTTACGTGACCTTGACTTCCTCCAATCATGGCAAGAAAACCAAGTAAAATTGCATATCCTCCAAATGCAGCAAGCTAATTTAAAATAATCGAAAAACAAACACTAATTATGCTATAGTCATATTCACCCAGTACAGCGGGTTCGTATTTCTAGTGGACTTTAGATGAAAAATTGAAAGCTTTAATTGCATTTTACTCATAGCTTGATTTGCTAACATTGCTGTAAGAAGCAATAGAAAAGAATTTATTCCATTTTTATCTAGTCATTGTATTTATCCATTCGTCATTTCTATGTCCATATTTTTAAAAATATTGTCGTAAGCCCGGGTCGAGGCTAGTTTACACCTGCATGCGGTTAAGAAAGAGTTAGCGAAGTCTAAAGTTCATCAATAATCGCGAATGCGAGACTGTGGTTATGTAAGTGTCACGGGTGGACCGCCTCACTGATCTCAAAAATGTGGCTGTTGGCAGGAGGGTGTTAAGTAAGATTTCAATTTTCAAAAACATGTATTTAGAAAATCGTTTCATACAAGCTTTCAAGCAATTTTTGTCAGTTGACGAAATGAAAAGAATTTATTTACTATGCATAGGAAATCGTGAAATATAGGGCTGCAATACTATAATTTTTTATTTATATGAGCTAGAAGGCATGACATCTATATCGAAAGCTTAGTTTGAAAAATTTGATTCAACATTGCCTTTCAAATATGTATTCAAGAATTGTTATGTTAAGCAGATATGAAGACAATAATTTTATAATTAGCATATTGAGGTCACTAAAGCCCAGATCAAACGAGGATGAGAAAGCATGAGAGATGGCAGTCACTCACGAGACTTTGGTTAGCTGTTCTGAATGCTTTCCCAGCATTATCATCTATCATGTATCTTATTTTAATTGAAACGTGATTCGAACACTCGACGTAAAACGTTTATTCTCTTGCAGGTAAACTACGTCAAGCGTTCCTCTTTTGAGATAAAAGGAATTAATTTTCTCTTCATTGAAATACTGCAACAGCCGATATAGGAACATTGCGAATTCCCTCAAGGTATTTGGAAAGGAGTTTATAAAATTTTCGAAAATAATGAGGAAAATTGCAATATATTAAGTTAGGAACTCGAAAGAGGAACGCTTGACGTAGTTGACCTGTAATCTACAGAGCTTGAAATGTCCGCTGTAACAATTCGTGACTGCCACCCCCCATCAACTCGCATCATCGTTTGAGCGGGGTTTAACGTTGGTTATCCAAGGTAATTGCCTTTCAGCTCTAAGGTCGCAGGTTCAAATCTCAATGAGAATTTCTCAATGTGACTCGAACCCAGTCCTCATGTGAAAAAAGTAAATTCAACGCTCTGTCGAAAGTCGTGGGTTTTCTCCGGGTACTCCGGTTTCCTTCCACAGGGAAAGTTGACAGGGTGGGTTAGGCACATAGGTCAGGGGGAAGATCATTAATGAGGTGTGTACTAATAGCGACTGCTTAAGCGCCATTTGTAACCAGTCACTGAAAAACCCTGATAGGGAGTGTGCTGAGTAATATATGTATGTAATTTCATAAAGGAACTATTTCTTACAGGAACAGTGTGTCCACCAATCGGGACTGGTTTACCACGCTCAAATCTTCCTGACCTTGGTCCAATGACCGCTGATCCCACTAATGCCATCGTCCCTGCAGTTACATGAATTACACCACTGCCTGCAAAATCCTACAAAAGGAAGATATATTGGTTATATATTACATTGATTGATTAAGCCAAGGAATAATACTTCAAAGCTAAACTTATTTTTTTTAGTTCAGGGTCACAATCAAACTGCAGTCAGTGAACTCATAAACACAATCATGAAAAATAACTCCAGATAATTAAAAGGCCCTATGCATGATTGAGTGAAGTTAACATAGCGGCCGACAATTACTACTACTGTATACCACTCTTACCTGAAACGAGACTCCTTCCCCAAGAGCCTCAACATCTCCTTTCTTTAGCCATCCATCTTCATGCCAACACCAGTGAGAAATAATGGGGTAAACAAAACCTTAATTGACGAAAAGAACATAGCTCGTCATGCCAAGTCCGTTGTCATGTAGGTAATGGATAAAATAAAAAATGGCGTTGCAAATCGATTGCAAACGATCAATTGCTCGTAAATATTTATTTATTTATTACCTGACATTAAAATTGTAAACAAAGTGTAAACAGTGAAATTCGTTCTTTCGGCGAGGGCTCCACTGACAATTGAACACGTAAGAGCTGCGAGCGTAAAGTGAAAAAACCAATGAATGTAGACGTCGGCTGATTCAGGAAGATAAGAGAGTGCGAAATTACTGTAGCCAAGGAACAGATTGCTCTTCTCTCCCCACGCAAAAGCGTAGCCAAACAACCAGTACGTTAGCGCACATGAAACTATAGAAAAATGTAGGCAGCTCAGTTTCAAGACAGTGAACAAAGTTATTTATGTAACTTCCTTTGGTAAACCCTATATTAGGGAGCTTTGGCGGCGACTGTATAAGAGTAGGAGTACGAGATTTGTCAAGCGAAACGCATGCTGTATCACACCATCCCGTACTGACGCGAAAAAGTCGTAGCCATCGCCCATGTGAGCATGCATGCACGAAATTTTGGAGAAATCTGACGACTTTTTAAAAAACAAAGAAAGTTGGTTTTTCATTTTCTGCAAAAATAAAGCGTTTATCCGGAGGAAATAGTATCTATTAATGCTAAATATCTGGCTTGTTTTCAACTCCACTTATTCCTGACTTATTTGGACTCAATTCGTGTATTGTTCCTCATAGAAGGGGATAATCTTCCGGGGGTTTGAGCCTGCATGCAGAGATTTAGTTTATAGAACATTAATTTTTCTCGTTGTATGTTTACAAACAGACACGAGAACGACTATAACACTTCCTCGCACGAAATAAAATCTCGGACTCGTAGTTGCTGCTAAACTGAGCTCCTTATTGTCATTCAAGCATAGCAACTTTGAAGCAACGCGCTTGACAAAATAGTCACCAGCATGCATCCTAGTCGTTTCGCGTGCAAATATAATTCTCTTATGATATTGACTCCAATCATATGACCTTCCGCTATATATATATATATATATATATATATATATATATATATATATATATATATATATATATATATATATATATATATATATATATATATATATATATATATATATATATAGCTCTATCCGTATTTTCAACGATTGCAAATCTGATTTTCTCCATTTGTTTTCAGTTAGTATATTCCAAATAATTTTCGGAAATCATTCTCATGGCTCAGAAAGGTCGCCAATTCTTAAAGTATCTTCGCTCTTTAACCCTGGATGTTAACGATCGATTATTTTTCAGGTAGTTGTATTCCTACCACGCAACATAACAACCGGCGGTTAAACCAGTAAAACCGACGACGACTAGTTTAGTTGAGGAAGGTAAGTCTAGTCGAGGTATATATACTTACACAAAATAATCATTTTCTTGAGAATGATATCAGTTGTATTCTTCAATCTTGCTGCACCAGCCTCTAGGAATGCCAAACCCGCTTGCATGACTACAAAAAGAAAGGCCATTTAAAGTGCACATGTTTATGATCTAAGACACTTATGAATGGACTTTGAAACACATAAGATGACGGAATGGCGTCTTCTACAGGATTCATTAACTTCTTCAAATAGGTTGTCAATGCATGTTCATGTTAAGTCCCATTGAACATTTTTGGACCAACTGATTGTTGTACAAAGTTGCATGAAATTTTCAACAAAGTCAAACACGATCCAACATCTTCCAACATCAGCCAACATTATCCATCATTATATATATAGGCTAGTGTTCACGCATAGTGCATGACCGACATGTTGGCCTCGTTTGAACTGGCTCTTTACATAAATTTCATCGGCCATAATTATATATAGTGCTATAAGATTCGAAACCTAAGACTACGCTTTCTTGTCTATTAATTATAATGGAATTATTGTTTTTTGCTGTGCATATGTATGTATAAATAAACAAAATGGCAGCACGATTCGCAATTTTTCCAAGTGTGTGTGAAGAATCTAACAGAGATGAAAAACACACAAAAGGCAGCATGATATGCTGTTGAAGCCATTTTAAAATTTAAAAATGAAGTAGGTTTTTTTTTAATTTAAAACGTGACGTTTACACTATGCTTTATAGAGATTTTGTCATAAAATGCTAATTGTTGTATAAATGTTGTTGATTTTTCTTTCGTCGCTATATAACAAATCACTTGGTGGATTGTCTGCTCCCTCAGAAACGGTTCCCTCGTCGAATTTGTCTCGGGAAACATTGAGACACTAGCTCTCGGGAGACTATCGGGAGCAGACATTAAGCTAAGGGTATATTCAATCACTATTACTGTACGATTGCCCGACACGGCTGTGAATACTGAGGATCGTATCGTTTCCTTGTATAAGGAGCCTATAAGTGTAATTCGTTCCGATACTGGCCCTGGTATATTAAGTGGCACTTCAAATTTAAAATTCAAAGACTTCTTAGATTAAACGACAAGCTTCATATATCATTCGAGTTTCACAAGTTTATAGGTAAGCCTGTTTCTATAATACAAGTGCACGACAGAAGTATAGTCACTATAATATGGTTAAAATTGTTTAAGTCCGTGTACAGCAAAGCCGCTAGGAATCATCCTTGAATAAGCGCCTTCGCCAGCTCAGGCGAGATGCAATATTAAGAATTGACATATACTCAAAGTCGGAACATACATTCAACATTCATCAAATGATGTTTTATTTTTATTTTAGCTTCAATTTAAATTTTTGACATTGCAAAATATAATTAACCACATATTTGTTTAACTGAGTTTACTTCGTAATTCGTAAATGTGTTAAATCAAGGCAGATATATTGCCATAATGGATCTGTTTACACATAGCTTATAGTGTAATATTTTATATAAAACG